ATCTGCGAGGGAGCTTGCCCCCACCTTCCTGCGTCTAGCAGAGGAGGAGTGTGTGTGTGTGTGTGTGTCTGCGTGCGAGTGTGTCGAAGTGTGCAGCACGATGTCACTGAGCATCTCACAGTGGAGCGGCAGAGTTGACTCAGTTGAGCCTGCACTGGCCTGACACACACACTCTCTCTCAGTCTCGCACACACAGACACTCAGCGAGCCACCGTCTCTCTCACTGGCTCGCTCTCGCGCGCACACACACACACACGCTCAGGCGCTCAGTTCAGTTCCTCCGTGGCTGCGGCGGAGTACAGAGGAGTCAGAGAGAGAGAGAGAGAGGCAAGAGGAGAGGGAAAGAGAGAGGACAGTCGGCAGCACAGACGTTGAGAGAGGGACACATTCACAGAGACACAGAGAGAGAGAGAGAGGCTAAGGGAGAGAGAAAAGGAGAGAGAGAGAGAGAGAGAGAGAGAGAGAGAGGAGCGGGAGGCAAGGAGAGCTGGATTGCTGGTGGCTCACTCCCACACCTCATCTTCACTTTGCTGGGACAGACACAGAATTGATGGTAAGATAAATTCAAGCTTTTTATTGGCTCGGCTGTTTGCTTTTATGGACGTTTATGGGACTTTTTTTTTAAAAAATGGACTTTAAAAATGTTTTTTGGTTGTTTGACAAATTTTTGGGAAAACAGTGAAACAGTATTTTTAAATTTCACAATTTTTTTTTGCTGTATGTGTTTTTTTTTTTAAGTCTAGAGTGTAAGATATATATCTGTTGTACTTACAGCACACTATTTGTTGCCTTCTCAAGCTTGAATTTATTTCTGATTGTATTTCTGTGTGGATATTCATTGCTGAGTCTGGTGGTGGCACTTCCCAGGTTGCTTAACTTTTACTTTCCTACTTTTCTTTTTTTTTTTTCTTCTTCAAATATTACGTGAGTGTGTCCATGTGTGTGCATGCAGGTAAACATGCGTTCCACTGTGTATGTTTGCATCCAAGTGCGTGTTTCTGTTGACTCCGTGTCCAAGTACAAAATGACTGACAGATGGATTACAGCAAAAAGTAAAAAAAGAAAAGAAAAAAAAAGTCAGGCCAAAGGCAACAACATGCACCCCCTCGCCTTAATTCCCATACTCCCCCTCCTTTTTTTTTTGTTTTACTCCATTCTTGCTCACCTTCTCATCAACCTCCCTCCTCACCTCCATCCTTTTCCTCGTCCCTCTTCACCTCCAGTGCTCCGCTCATCTTCCCCTGTCCAAGACGAGGCCCCCGAGGAAATTCACCACAAGCCCTCTTCTCTCTCCCTTCACAAGAATTAACTCCACACTCACTGCTCTGCCACCGGAGCTGCCAAGAAACCTCACACACATACACACACACACACATACATCTACTTCTTCATCTTGCCTCTTGCTGTTATCCTCCTCAGAAAGCAGGAACCAAACTAGATTTTTTTAAAAGGCAACATAACCCCAAAAGAACCCACCTTAACTGACTTCTTTTTCTTCTCTCCTCCTTCACACTCCCACATCCCTGCCGCCCTCCCTCTCTGTCTCTCCCTCTCTCTGTCTAAGTCCAAGGAGGCAGAGTTGGATGTGAGAGGCAGTGAGTGTGACACGGTCCCACCAGAGCCCAGCAGAGACCCAGAGTCGCCCAGGCCACCTCCAGCTAAGGCTAACGGACCCACGGACACAGCTGGCATTTGCACGAGCATCATCTCAAGTAGCCACAGTAGTAGTAGCAGCAGCACCAGCAGCAGAAGTGGTCTGGGTGGCGTAAGCATCGTTAGCAGCAGCGCTGAGGGAGCAGGCGCGAGCTCCATGCAGTTCAGCACCAGACCGCCTAGTGCTGAGCAGCCGGGCTTCATGGGGACATGGCAGCAGCAGAGCACTGACAGCAACCTCCTCTACAGAATGTCCCAGCAGGTACGTCGCTCAGCCTCACCCCTCCATCTTCTCCATCTCTGCCTCCTCCTGTCTTCCTTCTTTCTTCTCCATCTTTAAGGCCAAATGTTCATTTTCCTTCTCCTGATTTGTGTTTACTCTCACAGTATTTACTGGTTCCTGATCCAAGAAAGTGTTGGTGTACGTCTGCATGTGTAGGTGTATGTGTAAGTTCATGTTGGGGTGGGTGGGTGGAGGTGGTGGTGGGGGGGAACCAGTGGTTTTGTGGTGTCTTGTTTGTGATATTTTAAGTTAAGAGTCAATTGTGCAGCAGATTTTTTGTAACTTTCCCTTTTCTTTTTGGAACATTGATTTCATGCTTTTTGTGTTGCTCTTTTACACAAACCTGCTGTAAAGTATTTCAATTCATGCATTTTCTCTCTCTCTCTGTCATCTGTCACTTTTTCAAAATTTATTCAATGCATTTGTCATTTTCTTTTATTTTTTAAAAAAGGGCAAAAAAATAGCTCATTTTATGTATTTGCAAAAACATGTTAATATAAAATTTGCACAGCTTGCGACATGATTCCTCACCTCTTGTTACACACATGCTTCTGTCTCAGTAATTGGTGTGAGAGCGGAGAGGAGTTTTAAAAAGCAAGCTATAGGCGTGTTTTGGTAACCCCAGCGCCGATAAAGACTCGGGAAGGGGCACCCCTCTGGGACCGGCTAATTGACTTCGTGTGGCCGAAGCAGGAAGCCCCTCGCGCGGCTACGGAACAGCAAAGGAGACGTGAATGAATCCTGGCTGGCCAGGAAAAGTAGTGATGATAACAGAGAGCCCGCAGCGGCTGAGGACAGTCGAAGATTTCCTCCCGACATTCCTCTGCTGCTGTCGCTGGTGTTCCTCTTCGTTCTGTAGCCTTTTTTTTTTTTTTTTTTTTAGGTTTTTAATGTCGTCTCTAAAGTTAGAAACATGACAGGGATGAAGTGGTTTCGTTGGATAAATATCAGGTACGGAGAGGGGGGATAGGAATGTCCAGCTCCGAGCAAGTGTATGTGCGCGTGTGCTAGTACGCGGGCGTGTGTGTGTGTGTGTGTGCTTGTGTGAGTCCGTTCGCGCACACGTCCGCGTGAGGGGAAGACAGTAAAGATAGAGGATGGTTGTTAGGTTGCAGTTAATCATAGCGGGACCTGCAGACTCTCCGTACCATGCACACGCTGTTACGCACTCGGGCCATAGCGGCTCTTGCGCAACAGCTTCGCCGCAGCTCCGTGCTGTAAGTGATGAGAAACATATTCTGTCACCTTGACGGCACTTGGAGTCCGTTTTGTTTTTGTTTTTGTTTTGTTTAACCCCCAGAGGTCGAATCGTGAAGGTGAAAACGATGTTTTGGGATTTTTTATTTTATTTTTTAAAGAACAAGAATCCCGGTGTAACTTTTAGTAAAGACACATTTTGTTAAAGCAGCTTTCCACGAAATAGTTTTATGAGAAAAACAACCTCCACCTTTTTTTTTTGTTTTAGTCAGGTTGATCTTTAAAGCCCTCAAATTTATTAGATACGTAAATCAATAGTGTTTCCCTTTACATCCTCACACCTTTCGTGCTTATCACGTTTTATCTTCCCCACCCCCTCAAAATCTTCCTAAAGTAACGATCATGAAAACTATTGATACACGAATTAGTGGATGGGTTGCAGGGGTCAGCGAACCGCTTCTCTTCTTCTCTCCCGGTACGAGCAGGTGGATGGGCCCCTGCGCTCAGCATCTGCTGGGACCCCACGTTGGCGTCCCCAATCCTTTTTACAAATGCGCACCGTTGTTTCAATATAATCAGCTGTGGGACTCGCTGTTATTTATCCTTCCTCGCACTACTTAGAAGACATCTTCTCATGTTTAGTAGGCATGACATAAATTCTCCGAAGGAAGCCTGTTCCTTGACAGACTCGCCTTATTGGAATCTAACCGATAATGACTTTGTGTTTGCCGAGCCTGGCGCACCCTGGGGTGTTGGAGAGAAATACGTTATGGGCTTGTGTTAAAAAAAAAAATCCCCCCCATCTCCCGTAAAGATCAACCAGGTGACACGATAGATGCAGGATTTTATAAAAGTTTAGTTACATCACATCTCCATCTGATCGACAGAGACATAAAAAAAGATTTGTGCGCAGTGCGTTTTGGAGAAGCGGCTGTGATGAGATGCAGGGACATCTCCAAAATAACAAAAACAAAACATAACAACAACAACAAAACCCATTTGGCAATACCTTTTGGAATTCCTTGTAAATCAAACACACACAAAGAAGCACTGTCGAAACGTAGGAAATGTCTCTTGTGATAGGAAGGCAGTGATTTTCCTATTTTAAAGCCATCCTGTTAATTACGTAAATAACCTGCGGTTTGCAGCAGGTGTTTGATTAGCTCGTGGACAAGCATCCGCGACTGAAGAGTGCAAAGAAAGTGAAGCACAGACATTTATTTTTTTCTTTTGCATCCAAATTCTGAATCACTAGTTTCATTTTTGTCATCATAAAAAAGCAGCACGTGTCTTATATGGCGTGGAGAAAATTGCTTAAACCTAAAGAAAATATTTAAAAACCACTTTGAATTTAATAAATAATCCCTGTATTGCTGCCGAATTTTAATCGTTTTTCATAGATTTTTATTGGCAATTAATGAATGTATTTATTTCATATTCACTTAGATGTTTTTCAAGACACGAGGCATTTTCTTTTAAAAATATTTGGCCACAGGCGATGCTGTTTGGATTGAAGAAACAAATGAAAAATACAGGTGAATTAAATATTTTCCCTTATGTTTTATTAAATGTGGAGTGTGAGATTGCATATTGATACAATGTTGTTTTTTTTTCTTTTCTCTTCTTCTTCTTTCTTTTTTATTTTTTTTTTAAATCGTTGCGTGATTTTTCTAAAGCAACGAAATTAACAGCGTTGGATATTGAGGCATTTGTGCAGTCGAACAAATTTACACCTTTCATAAAAGGCCTTAGTAGGTTTTTAATCTTTGAGCAAACTCTTTTTTTTCCTAAGCCACACAGCAGGAGATTTACATCCTCTATAATCCACGCAAGTGTCAACAGGAAAGGGCATAAACAGCATGCAATTTAAATGAAATCAATGAAATGGATTCAATAAATACGACCTATTTTCTCAGCTTCCTCGTGTTAAAAAAAAATCAGTGCACATTTTACAAAACACTGCGAGAAGGGAACTCTCCTAATTGCTTTTATGGCGGAAAAAATACAAACATTAGTCGCGAGTGTAATTAATTCCAGGCATTACGGAGTGATAATATTTGGAGCCTTAATTGACCCGCTGCTGTACATGCGTGGCTATGAATATCGACCCTCTGCAAGTTAAAAACTCCAGAGTTAAGTGATACTACGAGTCTAATTGGCTCATCAGGGATGTTTCCTCCACAATACAGCAGCCGGAGGCCGCGTTTCTCTCTCTCCTTTTTCCCCTTTTTTATTGTCTTCTCCGCTTCAAGTCGGAGGAACGTGGGAACAAGTCAAGGATTAGAGAAGCTTGTAAAAATGTGCCTTCATCTCCACCTGAGGATCTGATAGAGCCACCCAGGCTCGGTGCAGACCTCAAAAGGGGTGGGGGGAAAAAATAGAGTGTATATCTCCAGTTTAAAACCATCTCTAAAATAGCCTCTTCCTTTTCTTTTTGCAAGGGTGCTGTAACGCGGCTTCCTTTGAAGTGCGACAGGTCGACTATGGGCCGAGATCTGGAAGAGGTACAGTGGCATTACAGCTTGCCTGACTTCTGTCTGCTCTCAGTGCTGCCTGCTTCATCTCACACCGAGACTCTTTTTATCCACCTATGGACACAGCAGGGGTGGATAACACAGACATATCATTTAAAACTAGATAACACAAAAACGCCCAAAAAAATAATTCAAATACCAATAATAATCAGCGTTAAAACAATAGAAATAATAATAGAAATTTTATATCTTATATAGCTTTTTGTGGCAATTTTTTTCTTAGGATTTAAAATAATATTTTAAACAAACACTCACTCAGATTTGCAGCATTTTATTCTTTCATTGTAGCATGCATTTACAATTTTAGGATATGGAAATTACTTTAATTTAATGTCAGTAAATTAAATTTATAACTAATATATATATATTTATATGTCTTTTTTAATTCTTACAAATCTGCTGGCTTCTTGTCTCCAAACATCCTCTCAAAGATTTGAAAGCCTGACTTTATTTCCTCTAATATTACAATTTTTCTTTCCATTTCTCTTCCTTTTCCTCTTTTTGTCATGTTTATTTATTTATTTATTTCGCTTGGAGCAACATCACAGTCCTGTTGGTTGATTTTCCCTTGTTCCATATATTTCGTTAAAGCGTTGTGCAGCCAGCCCAGCGCTGTCTGTTTATGCCAAACGGTTGGAAGTGAATTCTGTTAGCGCTCAGAGCGTGATGATGGACATATTTGTGGAAAAACATGCTCTGCTTTGTTTTGTCTGACTGAAGAAATTAGGTAGATATTATCCTCTTCAGCGCAGTTCAGAGTAGACGCTAATCTGCCTATTAACACAATGATAGATTTATAGCAGTGTGTGTGCGTGTGTGTGTGTGTAGGGAGGCTGGAGGCAACCGTTGTTTTACACGGTGGGGTAAAGTCGTGTTGTATGTTGCATATGTGGTGCATATGCATTGCTTCTTACTGTTGTGTGGGACTTGGAGGCAGTGATTTGATGCATATGTGTAGAATTACCCACAATCGGTGAACGTGTGCGCATGTGTGTGGCTACACTCGCTGTTATTATTTCCATGTCTGTCTTTGATGGGTCGTTGCACACAGAGCGTATGGATGTCTATACATACATGTATCTGGTGTCAAGTGTGTGTCTGTGCATGTGTGTGTGCGTGGCATTTATGTGTGCGCTAAAAAGTTGGTGTCTGTGGGTTTGCCATTTATTTTTCTGAGTGGGTGGCTAAGCACTCATATGCCAGTTGTGTGAGTGTAAGCGTGTTATTAAGGATGTGAGAGTGTGTGTGTATCCTCCCTGTGTGTGTGTGTGTGTGTGTGTGTGTGTGTGTGTGTGTGCGTCTCTGTGTATTGGATCGGGCTCCATGTGTGTGCGGGTGCGAGGTGAAGTGTCTCTTGGCTGGCCCTGGCTGGAGAGCTGGAGGAGAGCAGAGGTGAAAGAGGAGATTTGCAGAAAAGACACGCACCACTTCCCCCATTACTACTTTTTCTTTTTCTTCTTCTACTTTTACGTCTTTGTCTCTCACAGCTTCTTCTTCTGCCCTCGCTTTTTCAGCCCTCTTCCTCTTCCCCTACCTTCACACTTTCTGCTCTGTGTCTTCTTCGCCACTGTCTTTCTCACTTGAAACTCTTCACCAGCAGCAGATCGAATGCTCAAAGACGAAATCAGATGGTTTTTATGCAGCTACTGTCTTTGCACAAAAGGCTCCTGAGACTAAATCTGTGTAACTGGGGAACATTTTGAGCGTGTTCACTTCATATACCGTGCAGGATTCCGACTGATCATAAGACACAAGGACAGAAGAAGCACAGTGTTTTCTTGGTTATGCCTTTTTAATCAGTGTGTTGGGCTGGTAACCTGACTGGAAAAGCTTCAAAGCTTCAACAGAATAGATGACCCTGATAAAGCGCTTATCCCTCAATCTAAACTTGTCCTCTTATACTGCCTAATTCACGTATTACTGCTGCGCACCAGTTAAGAACATCCAGATAACATAGGCAGAGCTGAGAATGGACGCTGTGATTTTTGAGTGAGCTGGCATCCAACGCAGTCTTTGTGTGTATGATGATGCGTTTTGTAAAGGCGGCGTTATTTCTGCAGGAGAGAAATACGAGAGTAAGACCGAGCAGGAAGGTGGGCATGGCTACTAGTATATTTGCTGTATGCGTGCTCTAGTAAGAGCCCATCTGGTTTGATGAGGTGGGAGGATGCACAAGGTCCCATTCATGCTGTGGTCCCCACTATATTTACCCAAGTGCCAACCAGGGAGATATGACGTCCACAACATTTTTACTTTAAACTAGTTCCAACTGGCGTTTCAAAATCTTTTTCTCTCAGAAAGTGCATCGCCCAGTATGTCTGAAGGTACATGTATACATACGATAACTATGCCAGCTTTTTAAATGTGGGTAACATCAATAGCCACGCATTTAATTCCACCATTTTCCACTCTGTTTCTTGGGCAGTTGACTGACTCTTCACGCGTGCACATATATTCTCCTTTCTTTCACTCACCATCTTAAAATCCTTACGATAGATTTTAATTTTCAATTCATTTATATGCTGTCCTTTCAAACATAAAATACGGCACCCTGATCTCGTGTATGTCAGGTCAGGCAGGAACCTCTGTAGCTGTGCAATAATGCCCTGCAGGACCAGCGTTATGGGTAAGCACTGACCCTGACTCTGTGCTGCAAGACCAGGGGCAAACAACGATCAATAAGCATCATGTGAGCATCACTCACAGGCTCCATGTCAGCTGTTTCCTGTTTGTCCTGAGGAGACAGGTGCCTCACCACCATGGTGAATGGGGGGGCGGGGGGGAGGTGGGGGGGGTCTGTATCATACGGAAGCATAGGGTGCATTTTATGGGTGAGGAGCGATAGAAATGCACAGCCATATGCTCTGGCTTTATCAGTGGGATGAGTGGTAAAATCTACTGGAGCTGAGTCTTTCCCAGGGACCTCTCTTACTCTTGTGTGGGCATGTAAAATCAAAGAAATACAGTATTCCATTTCCTTTTGTTGTTCTTTATTTATTGCGAGTCGCTTTTTTTTGACAAAGTCAATCAATAAAATACCGGTAATCTGAGGAGAAGATGTCAACACCGCGTAGCACTGAGGAAATTCATGAGGTATTTCAGGCCAGAAAGATTTACGTAGGTTTTATTCATTTGGAATAAATCAGCGTGGTTATTCAAAATGTGAGCTATACTCAGCAGCACGTGTGTCTGTGTGGGGGTGTGTGTGTGTGTGTGTGATTCGTTTCTTACGGCACTGGGAAAATGGTTTACAGTGTTATGTATTTTTAAATACAACTGTTGTCATGTAGATTGCATTGAGACGCTTTATGCTGTTTTTTTTTTTAAAAATCTGCTGATGTCCGCGTAAGCAGTGGAACACCCGTCTTTTTACAGTGTTTTTCCTTCTTTCATTTTCTACGTGTCTTTCAAAACACGGCTGTGAGTTATTTGTCTTTGGGCAGTTTCCTGCAGTGCGGTGAAGTCGCCGGTGTGAAGAGGAAATGTGTGTGTTTGAAGGGCTAGTCGCTCAGGATGTCACCACCCCACCACTGGCTAATGAGGGGGACATGAATACAGGGCCAGGGCAGCAGCACACACACACTGACACGGCAGGAATGCAGCAGCTGTCACCAGGATCCAGGCAGTTATAAAAGGCTTGAAGTGTAGTTCTTGTAAGTGTGTGTTTGTGCGAGTGGTATTACCAGGGGTTGCTGTGGCGTCGAGAGCTGGGAAGGGGACGGCGCTGCTACAGGTGACCCGAGCCACCAGCGGGGTGGACCATCAGAAATCCATTTATTTTGCCTGTGGTATTTTAAGACGTGGCCATATGGTAGAGACATTGTTCTGTATCCAGAGGAAGGTGACATTAGGTGTGACCTGTGCTAAGTGACAGGAACTTGGGCATACTTTCACCATGGCTTCTCCCTTTTCCTGTTATTCCTCAACTCCTGTTATTTTGTTTTCCTTGGATTTGCGCCAACGCAGCGGGCAAATCGAAAGCCTACTATTTTTACATCCGTCTTTAAGGACCCCTGTCTATTCGCTCTGCCTGCCAATTTGCCCCATCAGCAGTGGCAAAGAAGAAGAGCTCTCAAGGCACCGAGCCTTTCATTTTTCTGTTGGCGATGTAGCTAATGCTGTCACTGTTATTTGAAAAAGCACTCAGAGTGAATTGCTATTATTATTGTTAAAACCATCATCATCAGGCTTATTTATGGTTATGGATAATGATGGTAATTTTGTTCAGGTCTCGCACTTGACTCTGTCTCTTTCTTCTGCTAATCTGACATATACTGTGTGTATGGGTGTGTGTGTGTGCGTGTGCGTGCAGGCCTACTGCACAGTGCTGTGTGTTGGCAAATTACCAAAGTTGTTGTTCAAAGAAAATGGTTTTTCCAAAAGGTAACACAGATTTCATGTCCACAATTCACATGTGAGGTGAAGAGAGCTGCACTCAGGCAAGAATAAATATGTTTCATCTTTTAATGAATACATGGAACCGTGTCTGTGATCGGTGGAGGTGGAGGAGGCTCCCCCCCTTTAACTATTTTCTGTTTCATTTCATTTCTTTCTTCCTTTTTTTTCTCCTCTCTTGTGCTCCAATGTTTTATTCTCCATCTATCTCCCCGCTCTGTTCTGTTCTGTCTCCAACTTACCATGGAGGTTTGATTGCTCAAAGCCCAGGGAGGATTTTTTAGGGAGGTTCTGGAGAAGGGAGGCTAGTGGTACAGGCTGTGGTAGGCTTGTAGCCAATGTACATAGTGTGCACGTATTACACACGCACATACACACAGATATAAAGTACAGTGATTTTCTTTGTGCAGATTGTGTAAATTGCTTCTTAACAATGCTGTCATTTTAACCCACTGAATAAAAACCCTCTAAACTCGAGTCTAAACCCGTTAGCTACTTTTTTCCCTCTCGCCTTCTTTTTCCTTGTGAGCAAAGTGTTAAAGCAACATGTGTAAGCGTTTGTTTGTGCTCTCTGC